CCTTTCGCCGAGCCCATGGTCTAATGATTTAGTGGCCAGACAACTGGGATTTGATAATAATTACAATTCTCTTTTAACTCCTTTCTGTTTCCACTCGTAATCAAACCTGTCTTGTTTCTTATGTACGCCTGTAGTTTGTTAGATTTCGATAGCACTTTTATTTTTCTCTGGTTTAAATCAGTGTTTCCCAAAGTGTGGCACGCGTACCCCCAGGGGTACGGAAACATTTAAGAGAGGATACGCATTCTTATGCGAAATATCTTGTAACAAACGAAAGTATCAAAAGATTTTATTTAAAAAAAGTTAACCATGAAAATTTACTATAACGTATTTTTCTATTGGCTATTTTTTTTTCTTTTTTTTTTTTTGCAGAGTTAACAGTTAATAATTAGTGGTGTCAACAGTCAGTTGTGATTGTTAATTTTTGTGCAATTTTTTTGTAGTCATTTTGAAATTCATTCATTTATAAAGATTCTGAAAATACAAACTAAGAACTGTCTATACGGATTACTCTAGATATTGAAATTTTCGCTCCTCTAATCAGGACGTATCAAAGCATCGTATGACGAGTCTATGCGTATTATTTTCATCTGAAAAGTTAAAAATGGCATCCATTTTATTAATAAGTGTGAGTAAATCTAAAAACCACTGATGTCTTTCCTGTTTTTTTATTTTATGATTATCATGAATGTCTTCCGTTGTTGCTAATCATTGCGGTAAAATAAAGCTAATAAAGAAAACTTTTCTTGCATTCTTTGTCAAATTATATTATATGTAATATATTAATATAGATATCAATATATATTAATTACCTGTTTATTGAAATTTAACAAATGAAAAATTTATACTTGAACTAAAAGTTCATGTCCAGTTATTGAGAGAAATAGGAATTTTTTTTTTGATCTGGATAAATTTGATTTATGAAATTCACTAATTCATTTACGAAGCTCAATTCGTTATTTTAAATACATTTATTATACATCATTAAGAAGACCATTATTTTGTTCTATGGTTTCTCAATTATCGTTTTGCAAACATAAATTCTTATAAATTTATAAAACTTTCTAGATCAAAAATAAAAATGCAGGTTATGTTTAAATAGAAAATGTATCAGTTAAAGAAATGTATCAATTATTTTGAATGTAATAAATTATTAAAATGTAAACAATAATTAATAAGCTTATTAATTGATTTACGAAGCACAGTTCATTATTTTAAATACTTTTATTATGCATCGATAAAAAGATGATTATTTTATTCTATTGTTTCTCAATTATCATTCTACATTTATAAATTCATATAAATTTATAATACTTCATAAAAAAAATTTGAAAATTCATCAATTTAAGATATGTATCAATCAATTGCAAGCAATTGCAATGTAATTGAAAAGTATCAAATAATTACTCAGATCATTAAGCCATTTACGAAGTTCAGTTCGTTATTTGGAATACATTTATTATACATCACATTAAAAAGCTAATTATTTTATTCAATGTTTTCTAAATTATCCTTCTATATTAATAAATTCATATAAATTTATAAAATTTTAGAACTAAAATGAAAATGCAAGGTAAGTTTAGATAGAAAATGTATCAATTAATTGAAATGTATTGATTACTAATTAAATTGACTATAATTGTTAAACTCAATTATTTATTTACGAAGCTCTATTCATCATTTTGAATACACTTATTAAGCATCATTAAAAACATCATTATTTTATTCTATAGTCACTCAATAATTATTCTACATTTTATTAATCATATAAAACTGTAAAGCTTTTGGAACAAATAAAAATGCAGGGTAAGTTTAAATTAAAAATGCATCAATATTTTTATTTATAAGGAAAACTACTTACATTTATTTTTGTGTTTTCTATCTTTTGCGTTTATTACAACATTTTTTTATAAATTATTTTAATCAGCTTCTATTGATACGCTTACACTACAACAATAAGTCATTTTAAATTAAAAACTAAAGTGTGAGCAGCGTCAAATAAATCAAATAGTCGCGAAAAAGTATATATAAAAACAAAATAATAAAAAAATAAATAAATAAATGAAAGAGTTCAACTGAGACTGTTGCCGTCTCTTTTTCTTCCTATTACCTTGGCCATCAAGTTGATCAAGCCTTGAATTGCAGACTGAAGGTCGCTTATTGAAATTCGGTTGATGATTCAAAGCTTAAAATTCGTATTTTTGTTTTATAAAATTAAGTGGTTAATATTTAAATTGAGATTTATAAAGTTTAAAAATATGTTCGATGAAATAATAACGTCACTATAATATCTTTTTCTATTTTTAAATAGTGAATGGAGTAAAGTTAAGGCTTAGACAGCTTTGTTAATTTATATATTGTTTTGAATATTGTTTACATATTGTTATGACTAAGAAACATAATTTTAAGTAGCACTCGATATTATTTTGCTGTCTGAAAACAGCATTGTTTCCTCTTGCAAAATAACCACTTGCAAAATTACCATTACCACCACCGATTCCACTTACAATTTTTGAACAATTGTGTGCAACAGTATTTAGAACTTCTCTTATATATTGAATGTTTAAAAATTACATTTATATTGCTCAACCAATATTTCTCCACAATTTTGAGCAAATCTTTTATTTTCAGTACTAAGCTCGAAAAATTATGCTTGTTCTTATGAATTTAAGAAAGCTAAGAAGCCCTGAAAAAATTATCTCAGACTTTAGTTGCTCCCAAAGAGGGATTTTATTATTTTTATTATTTATTTATTTACTTTTATAATCAGTATGATAAATGAATAAAATATCACTAAAATGGTACAATTTCTGAAAAATTTAGTATTTCTTCATTGCGTGATTATAGAATCTAAATTCACTAAATATATATTAGGTGTCCCAAAAACATTTTTTTTATATAACCGTCGTTGAACAGCCGACCCAATTTTGAGTTCACGACTATCGATGTTCAATTCCATAGCCTTGTTATCTTCAACCCTACAAGGAAACTTCCAGCATTAGGACAAACTAGCTTTCGTGGAGTATTTTTTTGACGGAACTAATCCGTGTTTGCGTTACATGGAGAGGAAAACCTTGAAAACCTCCCACAGTTAACCGGAAGATACGAGGATTTTAACCAATAATCCATCTACCACTGAGGATATCTTACGCCATCACTGAGGTCGGTGCGAGCCGGGATCAGAATTCGTATCAACCAGCCGCTGCTGGGATTGGAACCTGGTCACTTTATTGGGAGGAGTGCGCTCTATCTCCTGAGCATCTGTGGTTCTATTATCGCATGTCTGATGAGTCAAATATTTTCAATTTATATTTATAATAATAAAAGTTCAGATTAAATACTTATACCGCTCATTACTTACACGTATTTAGCCTATCCAATAATAAGTTAAAGGTGGCTACAATCCTAAGCACATTTTAATTTACCCAAATGAACTCAGATAAAATTTTTATCGTCAACTAGTTCAAACAATATTGATAAAAAAATACAAAAACAACTTTAAAAAAACTGGTATTCACAGGGATTTTCCTTAGTACGATTAATAAATTTTATAAGTGTGAGGTCAAAATTGTCAAGATATATCATTTATCCCTGACCTTTTTTTTTCTCCTTCTGTGCATCAACTTGTAGCGTCACTATATCAAAAAGATCATCAACAAGAGAGTTATGTTTGTGATATGTTCTGCGATAAATTTGTTGCTCCATTTCTTATTAAAAATGCCTTACCATCAGCAAACTTTCGTCTTAGGGCACTGAACTTCATATTGGCATGGTAAACACTACGCAAAAGAATTACCTTGATTCTTTGAAAATAACCAAAGGCTCAAAGATGATTAAATCAGTTTATTTTGACGCAAATAGCTTATATTTATGTTTTATTTAATATAATAATAAATTACAGGCAAGCTTATTAATTGTATCAGATGTTATGCCAGTAGTGACATTTTTATTTAATTTTAAAAACACCATAACATCAAGATATAGCAGTGCAGCGAAAACACGCAGAAGAAATTAATCTAATTATTTTCTAGCCTCGTTTTAATTCTATTATAGTTATTGACTAAAGGCTTAAAAATGATTACATCCGTTTACTTTGATGTAAATATCTTATATCAAAGTTTTATAATGCAATAAATTATAAACAAGCTTATTAATTGTATCAATTGTTGTATAATTATTTTAAAACCCCCATAACATTTCGATATAGCTGCGCAACGAAAGGACATGGAAAAAAATTAATTTAATTATTTTCTAGCCCCATTAATTATTTATTTTCTGTAATTATTTATTTTAGTATAATATTAATTATTTTCTAGCCATTTTAATTCTGTTATAGTATTTAATCTAAGACTTAAAAATGATAAAATCAATTTATTTTGATGCAAATAGCTCATATTTAAGTTTCATAATGCAATAATAAATTATAGACAAGCTTATTAATTGTATCAGTTGTTATGTCATTCATGACATATTTATGTAATTTTAAAGCACCATAACATTTCGATATAGTAGTGGAATGGTGAAACTTTGAAAAAAAATTTATCTCATTATTTTCTGGCCACGATTTAATTCTATTATTATGGTTCCTTTTTTATTGCTAAATATTATGAAAAATAAACGTCTTTATTAAAACTATCCTTCAATCGAAAGAAAGATTGGATGACTTGAATATAATATTCTTTGATAATAGTAATATTTGGTTTATACCAATGAATCATAGAAAGTTTTTTAAGGCGTTTTAAATTGCATCTGGCTTTCTAGTTTTAAATTTAAGCTTAAACTTACAATGCAGTAATAAAGCATAGTCGTGTTTATTAATTGTGATAATTGTTATGAAAAAAATGACATATTTCAGTCATTTAAAAAATACCATTACATTTCTTTATAATGCTGCAACCAAAATGCTTTGAAAAAAATATAATATTTATCCTTCAATCAGGAGAAAGTTTAAGGGGACTAAAAGATAATATTTATAGATAGAAATATTTTAAAGAGGTTACCTGTTTGGTTTATTCCAGCAAACCGCTGGAAATCTTTTAAGGCGCTTGAAATTGAATCAGGCGCTAAAATTGCTCCTGCCCTGTATCCTGTGCTGTCTTCTAAATATCCAAATTTTTGTAAGTAAAGCTGAAATAAAGAAATGTTTTAGCTGCTACATGCTACAGAATGTCTTGTTATATTAGAAATAATGAATATAATTACATGGCAAAGGGGGCTAGTGGGAACAATTTTTTCAGATTTTTCTAAAAAAGGTTTTTTTTCTCCTTATTATCCTTTTGTACAAAATTCAAACAATTACTTTCATTTTAAAAGATACGTAAGCTAATTTTGATGTATAATTTTTCAATAATCTTTTTTTAAATTGTTTTTGTCTATACAAGCCTCGTGGTATGGGATTAGTGTGAAAATCTTATAAAATGTATTATTGAATTTATTATTACTTAAACTATTATTAGGATTCCTATTTAATATATTTTTAGGCTCATCAGTAATCAACATTTTGAATTAAAATTTCCAATGTATCAAGCGTTAAAATATATCAAACGTAACAAATAAAAGTTCAGAATATACATTAAGAAAAAAAGTATGGTCAAATCTACTAGAATATGGTAAAATGTACTGTATTTCTGGCTCTGTGGTAAAACCAAAAAGCTCGGTAATTTTCACCGAAGCGCTTTAGTAATGATTTAGGTAAAATTAACAGTAAAAATGGTATATTGTAAAATTCGGTAAATGTGGTAAAATTTGGTAATTTTATCATGATACCTTAGACCATGACGTGAAAAATATTTATTATTCTGTTAAATTTTTTATTTTTGCATTTTTTACTAAATACGTAGTAATTATGTGGTAATTTTGAAAGTCAGGATTTATAGTAAATCGTTACCACATGAACGGAAAAATTACCAAATGAATGGTTTAAATACCGGATTTTTTTGTTTTATTAACCAGAATTTTTTTTTCAGAATTGTTTTTGTTATGCATTACGGTAATTTTGCTAGAATTTTTTTCTCTGCATAGGAAATGCTAAATATTAAAACTAAAAAAGTATTGTTTTTACTGAAAAGTCGTTCTTTAAAATTGGATAAAAATCGTAGATCCCTGTAGTCAGTGGTAAATCATCCAAGATGCGACTAAAAAAACAAAACTTAAAAATTTCATGCTGGAGTCAATAAATTTTTCTTCTGACTAAATATTTAAAAAAGGAGAAAAAACATAAAATATGATTTAAAATTCATTTCATATACGTAGATGAAAAATACTGTAAAACATATATTACTTCGTGATACTTAAACTAGTTTCATAATTTATTATTTCAAATTTATAAATTATTTTTGAAGTTTATAATCGGAACATTATAAATAGTAAGTTAAGTACTTATTCTATAATGAAGTTTCGAAAACTAGTTATTTTAATTATTTTAAATGAGTTAAGTAAAATTTTACCATGATGAAAATAAGTTTTGAAATCAAATAAGCTAAATATATATTATTAAATTTTGAATCATTTTTTTAGAATTTATTAAAAATACTTTTACATGATACTAATTTTAAGAAACGCAAAAAACTTGAATAGCAATACAATAAAGATGTATAAAAAATCTATGCAATATTAGCTATATGAAAAATCAAAGTATTTTGAACAATTGAAGTATGAATTTGTTTGCGCATTTTAGGAAAAAAATATTTACTTCAATCCCGCTGGTATTTGGGGAAAGGTTCTATACATAATATCTGACGAATTATTTCAAACAACAACTTACTCTTCCATTGATTATTTACTATTATACAAGCGTTTAAACCACTGCACCTCAATTGAATCATGATTATATATTAGAAGTAAAATAATTAAAGAAATGAAAGAAAAACTCAGTTTTTGATGTATTAAATGATTTTTGGAAAGCTGTTAGGTAGCCACTTGTCAATACTTACTCGTTTTTTTTTTTTATTTCAAGGACATGACAACAAACAAGGATTTACCTTGTGCCAAGCCTTTTAGAATCCATCCCTTTAGAATCAACAGGTTTTAATGCAAGGCTAGATGGAACACCGAAGAAGATAATAAAATGCCACAATGGTGGGCAAACGCTTTTAAAGTAATGCAAGAAACAATGAATTTCAACTTGTATTCTTTTTCTTCGGGCGTTACGCTTCTGTTGAACACTGCTCTACACTTACTAACACCTTTGAAATGTCGAATTCAATATTTTCCAGTAGAATTAACCGTACAATTAATGTAGTTTAGCTGAATGAATTATTTTTGTTTTATGTCATTAGATTACTTATCATTAAATCATAATGACATTTCGTTTTCAGTAAGTTTCCACCAGTCATTTACTACATATAAAAGTGTTATTTATCATTATTTCTTGCCATAAACAATTTACATATTTCGTTTTATATCTATTTTAAAAATTGATTTTAATACATATTTTATGGGCAGAAATTCCAGGTGAAAAGTTTTAGCTCAATTATTGCACTTGTAATCCTTCTTATGTCATTTCAATGAGACATTTTTATAATTTTTACTTTAAAAAAAGACAAATTGTTTTCTAATAAATGAATAAGCTACAATAATCATTAATGAAATCGTACATTTTTGTAAGATATTGTTTTTTTTTTAGAACTTTTTTTCGATTTTACAGTAAAAAGAACCAAAGATGTAGATTTTTAAATTCAGTTGTACAAAAATTAAAATTAGGGAACAATTTAGAAGTAAGTAAACTAATATGATGTTTGAAAATTACAAAATCAAAAAGTAGACATATATAAACTTAGAGACAACAAATCACAATATTTCAATTGGGGAATAATTTACAAGATAAATATGTTTATGGAGACAATTTTATAAAATTTGAAAAATTTGAAAATTTAAAATCGTTGTGCAGTTATAAACGTTAAGTTTTTTTTTAAATACTACAGTTTCCTAAAAAGCTCCCGCTAAATATTCAGTATGAAACATTTTATTTAAAACATTCTTGCAGTTTTTTTAAATTCATAAAATATGATTATAAAGAAATCATATGGAAAGATAAATTTAATCAAAAATAATGATAGGGTTGTGAGAAAATATGCTTTATTATATTAATTTATGTGTATATATATTCCATCAGCTTATGCAGGACAAGCTTTCGCCTTTTATACCCTTCTCTTGATACTCAACCTTAGAGCTGTTAAAATTTTAATACTGATTCGAGAGGCAAAACAATTAACTTTTTAATGTCTAAGTTCCGATATTTCAATAAATTAGCATTCTATATATATTTTAGTGTATTAAGTTAAGAACTGACAGGAAAATTCCAGCAAAAAAATTCTATAATCAAAACTAATTTAAGTACTTAATTATTAGCGTAAATTTATAGTTATATTATAGCGAATATTATTTGCAGCGTAAATCATTAGTCATATATTGTTAATTTCGTAAAAATAAGCAACTGAATTTTACATTTCAAATTTCTTATGGCAAAATTATAATTAAATTAATTATAATTTTGATAATAAATAAATTAATTGTAATTATTTTTGACTAAAATTAAATTAACTGTGGTTATTATTAAATAATTGGGTGTTGCTAATGCATCTCATGAAAATTACAAAATGCAGAAAAATGGAACTTTTTACGAAAATAGAATTATAATTAAATTATTTATTATTATAATAAAATCATTTGCAATTATAACAAAATTATTTATAATTGTAATTAAAAAATTGATTGTTGCTAATGCATCTCATAAACATTACGCCATAGAAAAATTAAAATTTTTTACGGCACCAGAATTATAATTAAGTTATAGGTATAATTTAGATTACAATTAAATTAATTATAATTATTAAACAGTTTGGAGTTGCTAATGCATCTCATGAAAATTACGACATGAAAGAGATCCGAATTTTTTAAGACATCAGAATTATAAATATTCCATACTAATGTATGTTTTTACTGCTTTCTATCTTTGAAAAATATTATTTAAGCCTAATTTCCTCTGTTTCCCTCTGTCAGATGCTAAAAAAATTCCTACTTGTAAAAAGAAGTTAACAGTACCTTTATGAAACGGGTTTAAAGTTATTTCATTTCTATCAGTCTATAAAAAAACTCAGGATTGTTGAAACAAGATTATATTTTACAGGTGACAGATATATCAGTCTCAGACTATTTCTTTATAAATAATTTAAGCTCTGTCTTTTATATATTTCAACTTCCTGTTGAAACGGGTCTAGGTCAATGTCGTAAGTATGCTATGATGGGACACTGACCTGAATTAATAACTATCGTTTTAAATTCATTTTATAAAACTGATTCAATAATTAACTCAAAACTTTAAAACTTATTCATACATTCATTGCCACTATAAAAACTTTATTCTCAACCATTTTATAATTTTTTATATTATATACATTTGAACCTCGATATCACGGTTGACGACAATATAAATTTTTTGATATAAAAAAAGAAATCTCAATTCCCCACACATTTGTTATGCTGATAATAGAAAAAAATCAAGCGAAAACTTCGACGATCCTCACTATTAGAATTTTCCTTCTAAAATTATGGTAAAATAACCGGCAGCAGTCTGTCCATTCAATTAACCGTAAAGTTTACGGTAAAGAACGTTTTTTACCTTTACGGTTTTGAAACCGTTAGCAACTTGAAGGGTTAAAAAACCATTAATGCAAAACTATACGGTTTTTTAACCATTTACAACTAGCATGGTTTCAAAACAGTAAAAAAGAAATTCAACTGATCATTAGAGATAATTCAGCAGCTTTATTTTTTCTATGTGGGAATGATGTATAATATTCTAATAGCCCAAGGTCACAAATTGGGAAGTACAGAGCATTGGAAACTCTTCATGTGTTGAAGGAAAGGGAGGAAATATTGTGGTGTAAACGCTGGGACAATAACCGCTATTTTGTTAGTCATGAGATTGACAGATTAGCGTCTGGGCTCTAATATGTACCCATCTGCTAGGAACTAAGCGGTTTCATTCAGCGGCTTAAGGTCTAGTTGGTGCCATAAAATTCAGGTTGTTTAACCGTATTAGGTGAAAGCAATTAATTAAAAGTTTCTTCATATTTAACAGCTTGAATACCATCTTATTTATGATTATTTGACTGTTTTGTTTGAAT